TGATGATAATAATAATAATAATAATATTTCAACTCAATATTGTAGTGGTGATGATAAGATGATTCATGAAGATAAAGAAACATTAGGTACCGATCAATGTATGGAGGATGATGTCTCTAACGATACTTCAAATGAATCTATTATTTCAGCTAATGACCCACCAACACCAACCACTACTACCACTACCACTACTACCACTTCCACTTCCACTACTACTAATAATAATAATAATAATAATAATAATAATAATAATAATAATAATAATAATGACTATTACAAATTCTTTAATATTCGTAATAGATCAATGTCATTCACTCTATTTCCTAGTGTAGATTTGTAAGTATACTTTTTAATTATTCAAAGATCTAATATTCACTGACATCAATTTTTTTTTTTTTTTTTTTTTAAAAATAGATTTAATCCATTCAGTTTGATGTATTCTGCCAAAGACATTAGAAGAATCATCAAAGCCGAGGATGGTATGACTGATATCCAAGTTATAAGATCTATTTTAAAAGTAGATTTCCTCAGGAGAATATTTGAAGCCAATCCGATCGATGTACATATCAGAACAAACGGTTATTCAGGTGGTGTTGTGTTTAAAAGCAAATCAAAAAAAGTTCAAAAACAATACGAATTGAGTAAGTTGATAGATATTTATAATCTAGATTTGTATTTATTTTTTACTAATCATTTTTTTATTTTATTTTTTTTTTAAAGTTGGTTTAAAAGACATAAAAGATAAAGATGTACTTACTGAAGAACAATTTGAACAACTTGGTGTAGTAGTTTGTGATCCAGCACCAAACCACAATGTTTGGTTAAATAACAAACATCCGTTTGCAAACGGTGCTGGTGATTATTCTTTCCGAAAGAATGTCATTGACGTGAAGTCTTCAACGCATCACTTTCAATCCGAGTCTGGTCTGAACAAACACAAAAAGAATAAGCTACTTGGTCACGATTTAATGAAATGGCAGTCTGACATACCTTCAGTCAATGGTAATATCTTTTTTTCACAAGATTATCAAATTTTGTTTATCTTACTAACTATAAATACTATTTATTTTGATTTTTTTATCATAGGGTCCAGTACAAACGATATTACAGATCTTGCAATATATGAAAAACGTTTGGAATTTATATTCAAATCGGTTTTTTTACCACCAGAACAAAGAAGTTCAGATATCAAACCATATGGTATTCTAAGGGCAGTCGGAGAAGAGAAAAAGAAAGAGCAACGAGTCTGCCTCTCAAACAACACCACCATTCCATATCACTCAAACCAGCATAAATCCGTCTTCCATCAGTATCGACAATGTCATGGTGATGCGTGGCAAAAGGTTGATTTGGATCGATCGCGATCAAAGAAGCACAGTGAATCATTAAATTCGAAAAAATTGTTCAACTTTGCATTACAATCGATTCCTATCAAGCAGTTAACTCATGATCCAATGCAGATCGATTCCACCGATCCCAATGATCCAAAGCAGATCGACTCCACCGATTCCAATACTCCAAAGTGCGTGCCAAAGTTGGTATTCAAGGGTAACAATGTACCCATCCAATCCGACAGGGAATCATCTCAAGAGAAAAGTGGTGCCAATAAGATGAAGCTACGACGCGTTGGATCTCCCATCAAAGTGAGAAAAGTATATATTCACTTACTTCGAGAACACCTCGGCAAGCTTGACGATGGCTCACTGGAGCGATTCATGGATCGATTCAAATTTGTGCTAGATATAACCTATTTGCAAGATGATTTTACGAATCTACAGAAAGAAGCATTGCTAAAGTTCCTCAAGGATCACAAACTCGAGTTCCTCGAACCAATCGACGAGTCCAATGTACGATTAAATGATATACAGACTGCAATTCACTACTATGGAGTCGAGCTCATCCAACAAGCAATGGATATATGGAAATTCTTTAAGTTTACCGAACCATTGCCAGGTAATCAAGGTGTGGAAAAAGAAGTACATTTCAAAGATGGCATAAATAGAGTCGAACAAATTACAACAACTTTCAGGAACCAAGCGTTTCAAAAGTTTTGGTTCAGACGTATTCATTTCGAACGGTGCAAATGGCTAAAGGATCATGGAATTAAGATCATGCCAGATAGTGTCGGAGGTCACTGGATTAGACCAAATCAATCAAAAGTTGACGCCAATGAAGACAGTATTTACCAACTATTACCAGTCTTTAACGGCTTGACAATTTTGGTCATGGTATCTAACGGTACAGATGAAGGAAAAAAGGTAGAAAGAACATTAATCGGTCGAATTAAATTGAATGGTGGAAAGTACACTAGGGATGTAAATGGCACATTCAACTTTATGGTTACTGACAAGGAAGATTGGGACAGCACACCAAACAAAAAGGCGAGAGAGATCTGTAAGGTGAAGAATATTCCAGTAGTTTCCAATGCCACTTATATTACAGAGTGCCTGAGACAACATGTGTATCTACCTCTACTATCGTATGATCTGTCGTCAGCTGCCAACACTACCAGTAGTGCTGCGAAGGTTTCACCAAGCAAGAAGAGTGGTTCCAAGACAGCTATCAACACTACCAGTAGTGCTGCGAAGGTGACACCAAGCAAGAAGAGTGGTTCCAAGACAGCTACCAACACTACCAGCGGTTCAACTGTTGCACCAAGCAAGAAGAGTGGTTCCAAGACAGCTACCAACACTACCAGTAGTGATGCGAAGGTGACACCAACCAACAAGCGTATCGACTCACCCGCTCCCTCCATACCGGATCTTCAAACAAAAAAGAAGTCCAAGAAGACCGACAATACCGACAAGAAGTCTATCGATAGCGATGAAGACAAAGACAATAATCCGAAATCCCGAAAGAAATCAAGTAAGTAATTAACTTTTTGTTATTTTTCAAATTAAAACAGTTCATTAATACCAATATAAACACTTTCATTCTTTATAGAGAATAAGAAAAGAGGTAGATGGAAGTGTTTATGTTGTGGAAAAACCAACAATTTCAAACGATTTACTGATGTACATTACAAAGTTCTCCACTGCAATCACTGTTTATTGGTACACATCCCTTTTAAAGATCGAAAAGCTGCCAAAGAATCAGTTGATAAAACTAGAGTCGGTAAGTATCATAGTTGAAAAATAAAAAATAACAACTGTTTTTTGATTAATCTTTTTTTTTTTCACACATTTAGTTATTGGTGCTGGTTGTGGTAATTTAAATCATATTCAACGAATGAAAGGTGTGAAATATAGTCCTGCCACGGAAAGAATCACCGAATCTCTCCAAAGATACAGTTTCAGTGTTTCGAAAACAAACATGAAAATATCAATTTCCAACGAGTTCAATACATCACAAGTAGGTTTTAACTGTTTAATATCAATTGTTTTTTTATATTTTTACTAATAAAATAATTATTTTTTTTTAAATTTTTAGGTGTTTGGTCCAAACATCGATAAACTAGAAAATGACTTTGTTTCAGCAATCAACAAACCAGTTTCAAACGAGTGGACGCAGGCAAAGAAAGATGAAGAGCTCCATTCGTTATATAACCTATCCAAGGTCAAACCCCCAGGAGAGAGTAAATCATATAAACCAAAAGATACCAAGAGGGTATATAACAAGTCATTCTCTGTTCGGTTGTACACTGGAAAGGATGACCAAGGCCAGCCTAAAGATATTTTTATCAATAGAGATATTCTTGCATGTACAAACATGATGGCAATTGCTAAGGCCTATTTTTGTGGAAAGCAACGTCCACAACTTTTAGCACCTTTCACCAGTCAACCTATTATTAATACCCCGGGCAAGGAATGTCCACGACAAAATTTGATTTCTGCGTTTACGCAGTAAGTATTGAAATTTTTTTTTTTAAAAAACAAAAAGCACAATTTACTAATTTTTTTCTGTTTTTCAAGAGAATAAATCAAATTGCACCACCGAATTCTCAATAAAAAAGTGATTGTACTGCAATAACACAACTTAATTAAAAAGTTGAGTGTGATTAAAAATTGATTGAACACATCTAAAAATGATTTATAACAATAGTTGATTGAACATCAATCATATATTGAAATTAAAGATGATAAATAAATCTTTTTTTTTGCAGAGTTGTCAGGATTATATTTGCTTTTCCTAAAAGAATAAATAATTTGCAAAAAAAACTATTCCACATTTTGACTCATTGAGGGGAGTCAAAAAAAAAAAAAAGTTTGACTAAAATTAAAATTAATGTTGTATTTTTTTTCATATCTAAATAAAGGTTATGTTAGACGTTGTACAGTTGAATAGTATATAAGCTATGAGTAATAGTCAGAATAATAATAATAATAATAATAATAACAATGGAAGTAATCATCAAGGTGGTGGTTGGTTCAGCTCATTCAGTGAACAAATCAATCAGATCAAAGATGTAATCACCAATGACAGTCAAGATCAATACTATGACGATGATAATATCAATGGTGATGATGATATTGAAGATCAAATATTAATGTTACGTGCCGAGGTATATATTATTATTATTATTATAGTTGTTTAGTATTTAATAATAAGAGAGAGTATTGATTACTAATTAAGTTGTTGACAGGTTAATAAATATAAATTGGAGAATGAAGAGTTGGAAAAGAGATCGTTGGAGTCTGAACAGAGAATGGCATCGGTTACCAAAGAGTTTAGTAGATTGATGTCAGAGAAAGAGACAGAGTTGACCGATCTTAGAAATATAAATACAAATTTGAAACAAACATTGATGTCACCAACAACAACAACAGCAACAGCAACTACAACTACAACAGATTCACCACAACAACATACAATTCATAACGATTTAAATGGACACTCATCATTAGGATTGACTTTGGAGAATGAAAATCAAATGGTATTTGACGATGACAATACAAATAATAATGAAAACGATACATTACAATCATTACAAATTAAATTAAAGGTAACCAGTCATTACATATAAAAAACTGTTTATCTAATTGCTTGTACTAATACATATATCTATCCTTTTAGAAACAATCTGAAAACTATCAATCTCAAATATCAACATTACAACAACTTCATCAAGATAAAATATATAAATTGAATCATCAGATCGAAACTTTACAACAAGAGATTGAACATATAAATGAAATGAGTAAGTTTGAACAACAACAACAATATATAGATTGATTTAACTAATTAAATATTAATGTTATTATCAAAATGGTTACGAGTAGATCAAACAAATAATGAACAAAATGATACACTTAAAAAGGAGAATGATCAACTAAAAGAAGATATAGCAAAAGTTAATGTAATTTTGACAGAGAAAGAAGAAAAGGAAAAGGAAAGTGAAAAACAAGATATAAATAGTAATGATAATATTGATAATTCACAATTAAAGAAGGAGATTGAACAATTGAATGAAGAGTTAACAAAATTAAGAGCAGAGAAAGTAGTTGGTGTAGATAATAATAATAATAATAGTTCTGATAAACAACAAGAATTGGATAGTTTGAAGGAACAGCTGAACAAGTCAACGAAAGAACTGAGTAGACTAAGACAACATCTACTGGAGATGGAAGACAACCATACCACCACCGACTTGGAGAACGAAGAGAAGATCGCTCAGCTGGAGGAGCAACTCAAGACACTGCAGGATGTCAGTAGCAGCAATCGAACTGCCAGTGACACCAACGACCGACTCACAAGAGAACTCCATGAGAAAGACGATGAGCTGAAACGAACGACAGTGGCGCTAAACAACTTGCAGTCGGTACTCGAGCAGTTCCAAGCCGACCAGGAGTCGACCATACAGACGGAGCTGGTTTCCGTACACCAAAAGATAAAAGACTCACAGGCAGAGATTGCAAGACTCCAGAAAGAGAAACAAGAGTACGATCAATTGAAAGTCAGCTTCCAAGAGGCAAACGACACCATCAAGCAGATGCAGCAGACTCTCAACACCAAGGAGAAGGAATATCGTACATTGAAAGAGGATATCGAACCTCTTAAGATGGCATTCGACAAAAATATAAATAGATTATCAGATATGTGTTTACAAGAACAGGAATCAGTTGATAAGTAAGTAGAATATGAATATTCTAAATATGTCGTTGAATTTAATATTTATACTCTCTATCTTTTACAACAATTTCTATAGGAGAATTGTTAGTAAACTATTTTTAACATACTTTAATGTAAAAGGCACAAAGAAATTGGATGTACTGGAGTTGATTGCGAAAATCCTTAGTTTTAATGATGATGAAAAAGTTACTGTAAGTAGATAATAGCTATGATTTATTTAGAGTATAGACATATGATTGATATTAATTCATTAATAAAATATAATATTAGATTGGATTGACAAAGAGACAGTGGTCATTGATTCCATTCTTTGGAAATGGAACGACTCCAACTGCTGAACAGAATGGTGAGAAGTCACTGACAGACATGTGGATCGAATTCTTATTGAAAGAAGCAGAAACAAATAATAATAATATGAATATGAATGGAGGTAGTGATATTTTAATGTCTCAACCAACAACACCAAGTACAACACCTTTCTCAACACCAACCAAACAACAACAACATCTGATGGCACCTCCACCTTCACCTTCAACACCCTACAAACAACAACAACAACAACAACCAATCAACAATAATTATTTCAGTGTAACTCCAAACCCCAATGGCAAATTGAAATCAACAGTCATATATGATGGTGATATCAAAAACAATCTATAATCATACATTAATATTATCCTTTAAAATTGAAATAAATTTAAATGATTAACTATCTTATATATTTATCTTTAATTTATAAATTTTAATATTTTTCAAAGTTAGTTAGTGGTACCAGCTTGAAATAAATAAAATTGCTGGTAGAAAAAGATATATATATTTGTTTTTTTCCAAATGCTGGACAAAAAATATTTTTAAAACCAAATACCAGCATTTTTTAAATTAAAGATCAAAAAAACTTAAATAACTACTATTTTGTATTAAATTATCTTTCATTGCATCAACAACAATATCAAAAGCTGGGGATTTTTAATTTTTAATGAATTATGATCTAGGAAATCATCAATATTAGAATTGGAGAGTGGGTGGTCTGTTAAATATTATAACCAAACAAAACCATGGTTTTCACAATTTGATAATTGTATTAAAGTAAATTTCAATTTAAATTGAATCATGTTGATGAACTGATATTAGTGTTCTCTAAAAAGAACGAAAAAAAAAAAAAAAAGTATAGTCCAAATAATACAAATAAAAACCATGAGATCTAAAAGAAGGAAATCATATCTATGCAATGGTACTACAACATCAAACAATCATGAGTTATTTTTCCAAAAAGAAAGTTATCTGTTTAGTCTGGTCAGAGAATTAAACAGCCAACTGATAAAAAAGGAATAAATTTGTGGGTGGTGGTCGTTTAGTTGTTTGAAAATCTCAACAACGCTCATTAGAAATCAAAACCAACACTAAACAGCCCCCACATTTACAAAACGCTAAAAACAACCAAAGTAAACGTACCCAGGGAATTTTCAAAAATATCGTAATCATAAAAATCCTGGCGGTTAAAACAAATCCATTTTTTGAATTACTTTTTATTTTGATGATATTTTTTTTGAAATTTTTTTTATTTTTTCATTTTTTCAATTTTTTTTGTAAGCAACAACAACACAACACCAATTTTGATCCCAGACTAAACAACACATGTCAAAAACATAGATACCAACAAACCAGGCTAAACAACCAACAAAACAAACACACACACATTTATTATTTATTTATTTAATTACTATTTACACAAAAAAAAAAAAAAAAAATATTATATAAGTAAATACTTGTTTTGCTACAAAGTTTTTTTCTTTTCTTTTATTATAGTAAACTCCTTTCACTCAAACCCAACCAATAATAAATTCGAATTTTATATAGTAGTAATCATTTAGTCATTTATAATTACCTTTTTTTTTCAATATACATAATAATATTTTTCCAACAACGATTCCAAATTCCCACTTCCACTTCCATCACACAATTAATTTTCTTCCAAATATATTATATAACAAAATAATAATAAATCATATGATATTTGCTTAATATTCACAAATCAACAACACCAACTCTCGCAATCCTCAAATCAATCTGCCAACAACCCATTTTATATCCTGTCTCTGGTAGGTGCACCCCTTTGTAATATAAATTCAAAAAAAAAAAGTAAAAATTTTGTAACCAATTTTTTTTTTATTTTTTGTTTTTTTTTTTGTCAATTTTTTTTTGTCACACCTCGATTTTTTTTCGCCGATACAAGCTTTCAACAAAAAAAAAAAAAACTAATTCCATTCATTTTTTACCAGGTCATCATAAACACACTTCACACAATACACACATACACACCACTATTAGTGAAAAAAAATTAAATAAAAAATAAACATACTAATTGTTACTACCTCTATTATAAACAGTTAACCTTACCACTATAATTCCAATTCAATTCAATCCATTCCAAAAAAAAAAAAAAAAAAAACTAATATATATAATAGTTTATTTAAAAAAATTTAAAATTTAAATTTATATAATTTTTATTTTATTGTTTACTTATACCACTTCACCACACACCACCCATCCTTCATACTACAGCCTATCTTCAACAAAATAAACAAACCAACAAATGCTGTTACTCCTTCTGGCTTGACTTCCTACAATAATAATAATAACAACAACGTCGCACTCTATTTATTTTACATTTGCATATCCATTTTGTTTTTTATTTTTTTAAGAAACAAAACTGACAAACAACCAGTTTTTTTCAATTAATTACTTTTCTTTGCAAAATCACTCTATTTATTAAATTAAAAATTTTATTAAAAAAACTAATTTCCCAAATTATCAAATAAACAACCAAATTTGTTGATTTTAGTTTTATCAGTCATACTAGTTTATTCTCTGGTTGTCATTTTCTTTTTTCAGACACTGCTGATTTTACTTTTGGTTAAGTTCTAGGCGGGAAACTAAACATCACGCACAATCTGTATATATGACAACTACACTTCAAGAAGAGATTCAACAACAACAACAACACCATTATCAGTTACGACATCATCACCACCACCATCACCACCAGCACAATCACAACACAATCTCTATGGATAGTACTCCAACTACTCCAAATAAAATAAATAGCACATCTTCATCAACATCTAATTCATCTAACCAACATCTGATACGTGGTAACAATAATAATAATACAAATACTACAACATCATCATCGGATAATTCAAGTTCACCAGTTTTAGCATCACAAGACGATACACTCATCACCAAAGAAACCATCGAGTGGGCTAATATAATGGCATCGACACCAACACTTCCACAACTACCAACATCACCTCTACTCTCGTTGTCGACTATCGCAGCGGTTGCATCGGCAGTCGGACTCAACCTCGACTCGTTGTTGTTGACTCTGTCCAATTCGAATCTGCGCAATCAATTGCCATCGATCACTGCTTCCATCGACAACGACGCCAACTCCACCGCTGGCAACATTCTCCCACAAATCTCAAACTCTATCAACTCACTCGTTATGGCACAATCACAATCGTTATCGGCCAACAGCGGCAGCAACGCCAACAATAAACTCTCAGATTCATTTAATAATTCAAATTATTTCTTTAACTTTGATGATTACCAACAACAGAACAACAACAACGGCAACACCTTAACAACACCAACAACACCACCAAACATGACAATCAGTAACAGCCAGTTGTTATCGTCACTAGGTTTAAATTTGACTGCTATCAACAGTCTCGCCAGTAGTAATAATAATAATAATAGCTCTGCAGTGACCAACGCCAACAACACTACCACAACTACCGATCCAAATACCGCTATTTATTTGAACAATAGTCAACAACAACAACAACAACAGTTGCAACAACAACAACAATTGTTCAATAACAATTTGTCTATACTTGGTTCATCGATTGGCCAGGCATTCGATATCTACAACAATATCATCCAGTGCAAATGGAATCGTTGCGAGCTCAAGTTTGAGTCGCTCACCGATTTTTGGATTCACTTTAGAACCGAGCACTTCAAACATAAGCCATCGGTTTCCACCACCAACACTGCACTTCGTCTTAGCAATGGATCCATTAACTTTAACTCTTCGGTGGCATGCGAATGGGATAACTGCTCTCAGGTCATCAAGGATTTCCATACACTCATGGGTCACATTAAATTTACACATCTCATCAACCCATATGATCCAGGTAAATATATATATATCAACAAACAAAACATGAATGCCATTCATATTCTAATTTTTTTTTTAATACTATTACTTTTTTAGTTTCTGCACCAAAGATATTGACAAAGAAGAAAAAGTTGTTAAATCAGTTGATTGAAACATGGAAGGAAAAGAATGATTCCAACTCCAATATTCAACATCAACAACAACAACAGCTACCACAACGTAGAGTCAGTGGAGGTGGTAATGCAGAGTATGGTTCCATCTTGTCTCAGTTGGCACAGAACTCTGTAAATATGGAGCAAGTCAATGCATTAAAAGAGAGTTTCTCCCATCTTCATCCATATGACCCAAATACTGAATACTCAACGACCGAAACCACATCTCTACAACCAGCACAACTTCAACAACAAAGTATTGATTTTGATTTCAACCAACTAAAACAACAACAACAAAAGTTGAATAATAATTCAATTTCATTTATTCATCCATCACTTAGAAAGTTGGAAAATGACAGTGATGATATTCTTCAACAACAACAACAACAACATATTCAATACAATCAACTACCACCAGTATTGGATACCTCACCAAGTCTTGACATAAAGATGGAAGATGGCGTAAACTTTGTAAATAATAGTAATAACAATCATAACGGTCAACAAACTACAAAGACCAACAAGAGAAAGAAGAACAAGGAAGTAGAGAGTGATTCTGGCGAGGATGACAGCGATGACATCGATGCAACCACTGGAAAACGTACAGCCTCTAACGGCACTACCGCTGCCAATGGACAACCAAAGAAGCCAAGAAAGAGACGCACATCCACACCGACTGGACCGTTCGAGTGCAAGTGGGCCGATTGCAAAGACTGTTTGTTTGACAGTCTCAAGGAGTTGGGTGAGCACATTGCCGACCACGTCAAGAACCAAAAGGGTAAGAAGAGTGAGTCGCTCTGTGAGTGGGTTGGATGCAGTCGCGCTGACAAACCATTGAAATCCGCCTATAATCTCATTCACCACATCCGTTACAAACACACCGGTGAGAAGCCATACTCTTGTGACATTGGCGATTGCGACAGTAAGTTTGTGCAACTCTCAGATCTCAACGAGCACAAGCGCAACATTCACAAGGTCGATGACGGTTACGTCAAGAAGAAGAGAAATTCAAAGAAGAATGAAACCGAGGCTGCATTGATCTCCAACGCCACAGGTGGTACCAAGAAATCAAAGTCAACTGCCAATCTCATTGCAACTGGAAATGGTTTGAGTAGCAACTGCAATTCAGCATACCACCAAAATAGCATTAGCAACAATATCAATAATGCTTTCATCAATGGTATTTCCATTATGGTTGACAAAGAACAAGCTAATTTGCTTGGACTGAACAGTGGTAGTCCAAACCAAATTCAACCAAATAACACCAACGAACATAAACAATATTTATATCAACAACAACAACAGCAACAGCAACAGCAACACCATCAACAACAACAACATCAACAACAACAACACAAGAATAATAATACTGTATATAACTATAACTTTAATAATCCAAAATCACCAGAGTCAAGTCATGTTGTTTCCATAAGGGAGCTTCATAATCACTCTCACCACCATCATCACAATCACCAACATCACCATTCACATCATTTCAATGATTTCGAAGCCATCGAAGAGATCAACGATAAAAACAATAGTGATCCCAGTGAAATGAATCACGACGGTATGAATGTAGCCTCACCATCTACTTACTTGCCGGCCTCGAATACATCGCCCTTGTTCAGTGATGTCTCTGTCCAAGGCGCAATGACGCCGGTAACCGAACAAAAGTTGTTCTCACCATTAATGACATTCCCTGCCGACAACTACGACAACTATCCAGATTCACCAATCTCATTGCGTACCTCTTCCTCCAAGATCAATATCCGTGGTATCAATCGTGATGGCTCCAGTCGTAACGGTAGCATCAGTCTTAACTCCTCCGGCGATATCCCATCGACCGAGTCATTCTTTGCACCAAACTCACCGAACCCTCTAAAGATCTCTGGTTCCGGATTGAACAGCAGCACCAACAACACTTCAATGTCGCCAGCTCACAAGCGTGTCAGTAATCCAATCAGCGGATCCGGACTCTTTGGTAAGTCATCGGACTCTAAGCTACCTTCGATTTTCCTCTCGCTCGAAACAATCAACTCGATTCCAGCCAACATTATGAACCATTCATTGAGTCTCTCGAATGAGTCACTCAACTTTGACAGTCTGCCAAGTTTACCATCCAACTCGTCGTCGCGTTTGAAACCACTTTCCTTCACCAACAATCTCAATGCTTCAAACAGTTCAACAAACAACGGATCGAATACCACAACATCAAGCAGCAGCACTTCGAAATCCAATAACACTTTAATTCCATCACTTTCACCAAGATACCACATGCCACCGCAATCACCTTTACAACAAACATCGCCCAATACACAACAGGCAACCGCTTCACCATCTCTGACATTGTCAGAAAAGATATCAGTCGTTCCAATGACACCACCCACCGAAGTTTCTTTATCAATTTCAAATACCGACATTCGTAGAAGCACCACCTTGATTGCAGATGAAGATGGATCTATCCGTACACTTGACATTGATGAAGACGATATCGATGATTAAAAATAAAATTTTATTGATAAAAAAATAATAAAACTTGTAATATCAGAGAAAGAATAATGTTGTAGTGTTTATCAATATTACATTATCTTTTTTTTCTTAATGAAAAGATGTTCATTTCGAAAATTTTTTATTTTTAAAGTTGTGCCTAGATATACGATTATACAATTTTTAATCTTCTTTTTAAAATCTATTACCATCACATCTTCATAAAAAAAAAAAAAAAAAAAAAATTGAAGTCAATGATTAAATTAAAAATATATAAATAAATAACTTTAGGTATTTAATTTATCATTAAACATAATTAAATATAAAAAAGTATATTTTGTAATTAATAACTAAAATTACCTAAACATGACAAAAATTTATATACCCTCATCCACATATCTTTTTATTTTAATAATTAATAAAACCACTTGACAATGATGAAGACGATATCTAAGATAAAAAAAAAAAAAACTTGTATTATCAGATATTAAAAAAATTGTATTGTAGTGTTTGTTTTTATAAAAAATAAATGATTAAAAAAATTAACTGAGTCAAAAAAAAAAAAAATAGATAAAGATAAAATAAAATAGATGGGTTTATTTACAAGGTTGTAAAAAAAATATCATTTTTCTGATTTCCAACAAAACTAGAGTTAGTATCTATAAAATCAATTAAAATTTATTTGTTTTTTAATTTTGTTTTTTTTAAAAAGGAAATGGTAAAGCCCAGTAGAACAATTCGCCCCCTATAGAGCGTATATGGGACAACTACAGTGTCCACTATAGAGTAGTTAATAGAGAATCAGTACAAGTGGCTTGTTGTGAAATGTGTCAATACATGGTGGTTGTCCGTTATGGTAAAAGAGAAACAACTAAATTGTTGAACCACATGATGAACAAACATGGGTCCTTTAGAGGCTGTACACAACCAGAACAAGAGGAGGAGGAAGAAGAAGAAGTACAATATTTTTCACCGAATATCAAGAAGATTAAACCAGGTAAAAAGGCCAAGAAGACCAAGTCACAGTCAAAGACCAATTCATCTTCAAAAATCAAGAATATCAAGTCGTGTTCAAAGACCAAGCCAAACAAGTCAACTTCCCCTACCTTCAACTTTTACTTCAACTTAGCCATGCATGGATCAGGTAATTATAATCTCAAGATTGACGGTGTTGATATCAAGCAAATTGTTAAAGAAAACAAGTAATTTATCTTTAATAAACTTTATATTTTTCTTCATGTTCTACTTTAGTGATACATTCCAACTTTGTATAGCATCATTCCCAATAATTTAAATTTTTTCTTTAATCTCATCTTTTAGATTTGATATCAAAAACCTAATCTGTATCAGTCGTCTTCTACAAGATAGATCATTATAATAAAAGAAAACACAAATAGCTGAAAAATAAAAAAAATACTTATTTGTTTCAAATTTGAAAAAATTAAATAATTTTGTGTCTAATAAAGACAATTTTATCATTTTTCGAAATTCAAAAAATTAGAGTTAGTATCTCAATAAATAAAATTAAATATTAGAAAATAAACAAATTCTTAATAAAATTCAAATTTTGGGTTTTTAAAAAGAAATAAAATGGTTTAGATAAGTAGAACAATTCGCCCACAATTAGAGCCTATATCGGAGAATTTCGATTTCCGATATAGAAAAGTCAATAGCGAATTGGTCCAAGGTGCTTGCTGTAAGATATGTTTGTGCACACTCAAGATCTGTATAGGAGAAGATGAAACAACTAAATTGTTGAACCACATGATGAACGAACATGGGCTCTTTAAAGGCTGCACTCAACCAAAGAAAGAGCAAGAGGAGGAGGAGAAGGAGGTGAAACAGGAGACGGAAAAAAAACTTGTTATCAAAGACCAAAAAGACCAAGGTTACACAGTCAAATCGAAAGTCAAAGTCAAAGATTTCAAAGTCCACTTCCTACAAATTTTATAACTACATCATACTCTCCATAACACAACCAGGTGGTTATAATATAAAATGTACAAGCCATTAAAGAAAACAAATAGTTTCTCTTCAATAAAATTCACTTGACATTGATTATTATTATTTTTTTTATTAAAAATAATAAGAGCATTATTTAACTTATTCAATATCTATCTATCTTATATATTTGTTGTAAATGAAGAAGTAGTTGACAAAAACATATTCTCTTTGGAATGTGATGTATAGACTTGCATTGTGGGCTGAAGAGAAAGTGTGTCTTTAAGATATAGATATCTACCATAGTCCAATATTCTCTTTGCTTTGTAACCGAGATCCTCTTTTCTAAGTATTTCAAAAACACTATCATAGTTTACCAAATCATTGATCACTTTGTTGTTGATACCATCTTGTTCCTCTTTCAATTTCTTGTTATCATCCTCATCTTCCGAGTCACTCTCTTTGCTATCATTCTCTAGTTTCATTCTCTTGTTATTAACATTTTCATCCTTATCTTTGTCTTGGCTTGATTGTTGGTGTTGTTGTTGTTTCTCATTGATAGTTGCCCAACTGGTAATAGAACACATCAATTGGAATTCATCAGCTGTCAGCTTACATCTATCAGATATAAATGATGGATCTTGGTTTATAAAAATAATAGTTTGATTAATGTTGGCATTGAAAAGAACGACTCACAATAAAAAACTTACTTATATATGTATCTAATGTACATAAATGATGACAACATGTAGCAATACCAATACCATTGAAGTTTGGTTGTAGTTTGGTGTTATTGTGTAGAGCATTCGATAGACATTTGAGAGTGAGATCGGTTGCACATCCACACAGATGCTTACTAATGATTACAAACTTTGATTGTTCGAGTTGCTCTACTTTAGCGAGGTCGAGGTGTCTGATGTCAATGAGGAATCTATCAAAGTACTTGCAGCCTGCTTCGTTCTTTATCTGTCTGTCTGATCTCTTCAGTGATTTGAATTTCATACGATCGATCATGATATGCCCCGATTTGTTTTCGAGTGCTTGGAAGACATGATATCCAAGCTTACCTGTACCAGCACCAAACTCTAAATAGATATTATCTTTTCCCAGCAATTGTTCATTCTCCAACAATGTTATAATAGATGATTCTTGTTGTATATGTTTTAACTTTCTTTCAGAGTTTACACTTTATAGTTGTTTGAAATGATTAATACTATTAGCTAATGGCCAGAATCAAATTGCTGTTGTTGTTACTTACTTAGATGCAACAATCTTGTCAAATGAAGAATGTTGATATTCAGCTATCTTTATACCAAATGGGAATAGCTCGGTAAATAAACTATCTAGTTTGTTTGCAATTGCATGAAGATGAGCAGTTGATACATGTGAAAGTGGTTTGACATTGAATGAAGGTGGCATTCCATTGATGTTCTCATTGTAGTATACCTGTTTCTTTGAACTTGAAATATGTGCATTCGATTGTGTATCCTTCGAATTAGGACAACCCTTTAGATGTTTCTTTAGTTTATGTTCATAAACAATGCTTGATTGAATAAAATATTAATTTTTTTAGTTAAAAAAAAATTATATATATGAAATTTGTTACTTACTGAGCTGGATTCAAAGGACATCTTACACGTTTCTTTAATGGATCTGACTCGTCTTCACATTCCTCTAAAGGTCGATGATGTGTACAAAACATAGAGTTTTTTGTCTTTGGAATCGGACAAAAGTATGCACGATGTTTTGATTTTACGACCATCCAGAACTGGCATCCATTATGTTGTGCCAAGTCTTCATCTGTTGGTTTCTCCTTCAATGGAATACTATGATCAATCTTTACTCTCTCTTTTCTTTTCTTTTCTCTTTTTTCTTTCTTTTTATCTTTTAAATCATTTGTATTTTTATTATTATTATCATTGTCATTTTCATTATTGTTTATCTCGTATATGTCTGAACTTTTAGTAAGAGAAATATCTTCAGACATATTTATCTCGTATATGTCTGAACTTTTAGTAAGAGAAATATCTTCAGACATATTTATCTCGTATTAATGAAACTAACGATACAGATTTAATTTTTTTTTTTTTTTAAAGTTCGAAATAATTAAAAATAAAAAAATAAAAAAATAAAAAAATAACTTCACTTCATTACAGTAATGTGATCTTATAAAACATTTCTCAAGTTTCTTGACAACCAGTAATAAATAATAATAATGGTAATAATAATAATAGGTTTATACATCAATCTGATCAGTGAACTTTAATATACCAACAAAAAATTGTGACCCGATCGCGATGGTTATTTAATCTCATCTTCAATCTCTGTTGCGATTGCAAAAAGACTTTGATTGGTTTCTCAACACAACTTTCATTAAAAACACAGATAAATCTAAAAATTAGATTTAGATTTTTTGCATGAATGGTTTTTTTTTATGATTTTTGATGTTTTTTGAAAATCGATTTTTCATTACGATTATTTTTTTTTTTCAAACAATTTTTTTGATTCTTGGTTTCAACTGATCTACCCCATTTACTAATTCTTCTTTTTCGCTGAGAACATCCTTAATATCACACACATTTAAAAATATTATTCATACATACATTCATCTACTATAGACTATAAAATAAGATTTTTCTTTACATGTAATCAAATAATCAATAGAATATTATATTTTTATTTATTTAATAGAAATTAGAAAAATGATAAAATTTAAAGTATCAACAACTATTACTTTATTGTTAATAGTTGTACCTTGTTTTTTATATTATTTTAAAGTGTAAAGTATAGAAAAATATAGAGAATAAAGAATAACTCTTCACCGATTAATTAACATTTGGTAAATTGATTAGATTTCCATATTTCATTGAGCATAATAAAACATTTGGTATTGGTATGGGTGCTGTATTTAGTTATTTCACAGTGATGACAGTAGCTACATTCCTTTTGGCGGCAATGATGAACCCAGGTGCCATTCAAAAAGCATCGAATACAGAAATTCAATTGGAAAATGGCGAAATCTCAACCTCTTTTGATTCCGAAAGCAAACAGACAGACAGACCAGAAGAACAACCAAGAAACGAAAAAGATAAAGATTCAAATTCGACAGACTCTGATTCAGATTCAAATAGTGATTCAGACTCTGATTCCGATATCGACGATAATAGCAACAATAACGATTCCATTTCATTAAAACACTTCCCAAACAACATCGATTCAAAGTATGGTAAACAAATATCATACCAATTCACAACAAATTTTTGTAGTAAGTTTGGAAACCATCAGCTATCAAGTGATATTACAATACTAATGAATTATATAATTCTCTAGAAACTTGTAAAATTTCAAAACCTCCGAGAGCATCTCATTGTAAAATATGTGGCCATTGTGTATTTAAATTTGATCATCATTGTAAATATATAAATAGAATTAAAAGATATATTAAATGTTTAAAGTTTTATATTAATTGTTCAAAAAACAACAGGTCCTTGGCTAGGAAATTGTGTTGGTCTAAGAAATTATAAATATTTTATTTACTTTTTATTAAACTTGTCAATTTTAATTCTTTTGGTATTTTCAACTTCGATATATCATTTGGTATTGGATAGTAAAGCAGTTGGTGGCAGCAGCAGCGGCAGTGACAATAGTAGTCATGATGACAATAGTAATTCACAGGATATGTCCAATGGCGAGGGTGATTATTGGAAAGTCATCGAGCGACAACCTATTTCATTGGCTTTAGTCATTATTAGTTTCCTGGTATCATTTCCTGTGATTGGTCTATTTGGATTTCATGTACATCTCTTACTAATGAATGAGACCACTCGCGAGCACAACAAGGAAATCTTCAAGTTGAAATCAACAAGTACAAAAGTTGATAGTGAAAATAATAGTCAAAATGGTACTGACAAAGGGGCTGACAACAACAAGAGCAACAGCGAAGGCTCAGAATACTATAATCCATTCTCACGTGGTAGTTTGCTCAATATTTCCCAGGTGTTGTGTTCCCCTTACCACCCACACTAAACAAAAACAAAAAAAAACGAATAAAATCCTGGATTTTATCATTATTTTATTTATACCTCTAAAAACAATCTATGGTTTTCCCCAAATACACTAACCAACCCTCACCATCAACATTCTAAAAAAAAAATTTGTGTTTAAACTTTTACGTACTCAGAAGATAAACCTGGTTACATCTACAAGTTATTATATTTAGAAATATTGATTACCAAATGTTTTTATTATCATTCGAAAAAAAAATATTAATATAATAAAAATTAAATCAAAAAGGTAAACCATTGAATCTAATACCAAAAAAAAATAGGGAAAAAGAAAAAAATTAATATTTTTATCCGTTGGTTTTTTTTTTAAAAATTTAAAAATCAAAAATAGTAAACCGGAATATTATTGGTTGGAGATATCTGTCTTCTTTAAGTTTTGAAAAAACACCACATCTTCACACGGTTTACAATTCGTCTCCCGACAATAAAACATATCATTTCTAAAAGCTCCACTATTCGTACAATCATTATTATTTTTAGACTCTTGTTTAATTTACACCCCCAATAATATTCATTTTAGATAAATTTCTCCGCAACCACCTGAACATTTCCAAAAAAATTGGAATATCATCAAAATATTGTTGCATATGCAAACATCATAGTCATCATCTAATCCATTTAAGGGTCCATAGAGTATAATATAAGAGGAATTCCATTACGAGAATAGGAAACAATTCACAATGTCATTTGTTCAAACATAAAATCTATTACCGACCATATTGACAAGTACTAAAATTTTATTTCAGAATTTTCCGACAAGAAAGTTGGGGTATCAATCGCGATAGCGTCTATAAAGAATGAATCTAAATTTTTAATAAATTTAAAAAATTTGAAATTTCTTTTGGTTTGTCTGCCCCACAAAAATTGAAAAAATTGGTTTTGACCAATCAAATTCTTTGGATCCAATGTGAAGGAGGGTTCAAAATTCCAGAATAATCAAAAAAAAAAAACTGAGTATTCGTGTTGAACATAATTTTGTTTTTTTTAAAAGATGTTTTGTCTTTTGACAACCTCCCCCTCCTAAACTCATAATCCATAATCTGCCTTACAAGTTTCTTACTACAGAATTTGAATAACACCATTAATTCATCTGAAAAAAACAAACAAAACAAACCACCTGAAAAAAACAAAAACAATAGAAATTCATCAGGAGTGTCAATATATACTTCACCTACTACTTATACATAATATTGTTTTATATATATTAATTAATTGTAATTATTTTTATTTTTTTTTAGTTATTTTTTTTACTTGAAAAAAACTTGTTGTAAATTAATTTATATCAAAGAGACAAGTGTCCTTAATAGAAATAGCATTGTGTTGACTCAGTTTAAGTCCCTGACCACATTTCCAACCACCCTAAAAACATAATAAGTTTTTCTCTATATAGATGGTTAAAAACAAAAAATATCAAACTTTTGTTTTTTGATAAAAACAAAAACCAAAATCATTTCAAGTATTTATTGTATTAATTATCCACCCCACAATTAGATGAATTGAAATTCATCTGATATTTACCAAATTATAACCAACTTTTTTTTTTTTTTTTTTTTAACAACACAAAAAGTAAATATATAATACAAATTAAATTATAAGAAATAATTCTTTTTTTTTTTTTTAAATCTTTTTAAAATTTTATTTATTTTATTATTATAATATATATATCAGTATCTGTAAACAAAAATCATTATCTATTTTAAAGTTTTTAATTGAATTTCAATCAATTTAACCCTTGGTCCCTGGGACTCAAAACCACCACCACAATTTCATTTTTCCACTCACCGACAAACACACACACAAAACACACACACAACACACAACATCTCTTCACTGTTACTACAGAATAAACAAACAATAATTATTAATTTTAAATTTTGATTCTATTTAAAATACACGGTTTATTGGTTTCTTTTAAAACATTTAGTTTGTTTAAAAACAAATTAACAACACAAAACTAAAAACATCACCACTAGATCAACACTTGAATCAACTACTCCACACCCCAATTTCCTTCATTGTTATCACGACATTCCCACAACATAGACAGTTAGATGCAAACATAGTTTCAATTCTTCAGTTGAAGATCATCTAAAACAGTACGCCTAATTAACAATCTATCAAACTATCTTCACTATCACGATTGTAAACACTATTTAACTATCCCACTATTATTACATCCAATATATATTTGTATATTTATTAAACAATATTTACACATCTAATAATATATTCGAAAAACTAATTTTTAAAAAACACTTCTTTTAGACACACAGTTTTGAAACTACAAAAAGAAACAAAAGAAAAAAAGATATTTTAAAATATGTTTGTTATAGATTAATAATATTTATGATTATAAAGAGTAGTTAATATAATATTCAGTTAAATAGAACAAAAATTATTATTTCATATAAATTAAAATTGTAAAAAACAAAAATCAAACTTAATATTTCATTTCTTAGGAATAAAAAAATAATAATTAATTAAATAATAATAATAATAATAATAATAATAATAAAAAATAATAATAACTTGTAATAATAATAAATTGGTTTAATAAATTTATATATACCAAAAAGGTAATTAGTTTTAATCAAATAAAAATAAAAAATAAAAAAGAACTAGAATTTTTGAAACTAATATTAATTTTATTAGAGTACCAATCAAATTTAGTGTGGAAATTAATTAAGATAACCCTTTTTTTGGCTTAGTTTGTTTTAGGTTTGAAACTTCCTCATTGATAAAGTTCATCAATCTCCTCAAAAAATATTACTACATATACTCAACTTTCAACCTACAAAAATATATTCTTTTTATAAACTGTCCTTAATCTTGTCATATATTATGAACTTTTTTAAAAAACAAAGTTTCTTAAATTATCTATCAATTTATATTTATTTATATGTTTATTATAATAATTATCATTAATATTTGTATTTTTGTATAATTAAAAAAAAAAAAATTAAAATTAGAATTAAAAATTTATATATTATTATTTATATATATATATATTTATTTATTACTTTTTATATATTAAATTAATTAATATACCAATAATTAAAAAAAAAAAAAAAAAAAAAACTTTTTATAAAACTGGTTTTTTTTTTTTTAGATCATGTTTTATTTAAAGATATTAAATCAACTGACAACACCAGTTTGGATTTTCGATATCGATAATAAGTCATTGGTTTGGGGAAATACAAAGTCAGCAGAACTCTGGAATGCCGAATCAGTGGCGGCACTCATTACTCGTGACTTTAAGAGTGATATGTCGCTAGCGACAGAGTTGCGACTTGGTACATACAAAGCCGATTTTGAAGAAGGCAAGCGAAGGACCGAACAGTGGACGTTCTATCCGGGAGGTCTGCATCCCATGCCAGTGGTCATCACCTGCTCTGGAATCAAGGTCACCCGTCTGGAAGCGGAGCAATATTTCACAGAGTTGGCACTATCCCAATGGCCAATTGAAATAAACGAGAGAATGTTGATGCTTGTCGAAGCGCAATACATCAAGGAGGCAGAAGTCGATTCCAATAAAGAGCTGCTTCGTTCAGTTGAAGCGATCAGACATACTCCTGTTATGATCTCACTCTTTGAGTTGGAGGGACAGCTTCTCATTCACAATCCATCTGCTATCGAGGCATTTGGAAATTGTTGTACATTATCCAGTATTTTTTCTGATCCCAACGATGCGGAATCCATTCTGAAACATCTCAATAACAATAATATATATCAAGGAGAGTTTAAAATGAAAACTAAACTCGGTGATTTCTGGCACCACGTAGACGCGAGAACCACTCGTGATCCGGTCACGGCAAAGCGAGTGGTGGTCATCAACCAGAACAACATTCACGACATCAAGCTATATAATCTCACCGTCAAGGAGAATGAAAGACGTCTTCAAGAGGCACAGGAAATTGGTAACATGGGTAGCTGGGAATTGGATCTCAGGAACAATGTCACCAAGGCGTCAAAGCAGTTCTATCGAATCATGGGACTCGGCCAGTGTTCAGAGTGGGACTATCAACATACATTCACCGAGATGATGAGCAAAGGATTTCTCGACGATTGGATGTCAGTGCTGAAGAAGGCAGTCGAGTCGAAACAATCGTTTTTCGAATACTCTCACTACGTGAAGAACATTTCGAAACACGTTCATGTCCGATGCGAAGTGGAGTTCGATCCGACCACTGGATCTCCAATCCGAGTTTTTGGTACCACCCAAGACATCTCAGAGATTCAAGCGGCCAAGGAGAAGCTCGAACAAGAAAGAAAGTTTGTCAATGCACTGATAGGTTGCTTGAAGGCTGGCATTGTTGCATGTAATTCGGAAGGTGTCATCACTCACTTTAACAAGTCTGCACAACGCTTACACGGAGTGGAGCTAAAGGAAGGTGTTGACAAAGATCATCTCTTAGATTCCATTCATCCATGCTATCGAGTTCCATCAAGCAAAGAAATGCTACCAAAAGAAGATATTCCAATTCTTAGAGTTTTATCTGGAGAATCTATTCAAGATAGAGAATTAATATTAGTTCCTCAAAATAATAATAATAATAACACCAACAACAACAATAATAATAATAATAATAATAATAATAATAATATCAGTGAAGATAGTAGTGAAAATAGTAGTGTTTCGAGTGACTCTGATAAAAACTCGAAATTTAAAAACAAAAATAATAATCAACAGAATTCCACAGAATATACAGTATTAGTTAGTGGTCAAGAAATAGTATCGAGTGACGGTACTATTATAGGTGCAGTGGTTGTATTACATGATATATCAGATATCAAAGCAAACGAAGAAGAACTACGTACTGCAATCAAAGGATCACAAGAAGCTAATCAAATTAAAAATGAATTTCTTGCTAATATAAGTCATGAACTTCTCAGTCCGATGAACTCTATCGTTGGCATGAGTGGATTAGCTCTCGATGTTGCACCACCTAACATTAAAGAAATGTTAACCGATGTAGTCGAATCATCAAAAATCCTATTACATTTATTATATCAAATTTTAGGTATGTAGTACTACTCGATTACTGATCGCTACTAATCTACTTTTACTAATCGATATGTGTGTGTGTATGTGTGTTATTTAGATTTTACTTCGCTAGAAGGTCATACAATTCTAAGAAGATATCCATTTAAACTTAGAGAGACCATCAAATCGGTGCTAAAGATTTTCTATCCTAGAATCTTAGAGCAGCACATCATACTGAAATGTCAAATCGATCCTTCCATTCCAAATCAGCTATTTGGTGATCAAAATCGATTGAAGCAAATCCTAGCGAATATTTTAGATAATGCAATCAAGTTTTCCAATCAAAAAAATGCAAGTAAGCAGATTCTCATCAAAGTCATTCAGGTTGTAGATGACACCAACAACAACAACGATTCATTGCTATCACTGCGATTCTCGATTCAAGACAACGGTATTGGTGTTCCAGTGGAAAAGAGCAAGTTCATATTCGATGGTTTCTATCAGGTGGACGGCTCTTACTCTCGCACACGTGGTGGCGTTGGCATCGGACTGAGTATCTGTCACAAACTAGTAAAGTTCTTCAACGGTAGCATTTGGTTCGACAGTCAACACGACAAAGGCTCAACCTTTTATTTTACAATCAAGATCAATCGATGCGATCAACACTCACCTCTATCGACACCGCCACTCAGCTCGCAACCACACTTTTTTACACCACCGATCTCGCCTCGATCGGTATCACCCAACCACAACTGTTTCTTCAGTTCGAAAAACGACATATACATTTCACCGCAGCTCTGCAAGGATTTCAATCTGTCGACAAGCAACGATTCAAACGACAGTCAGTCTAGTTCGAATCTATCGACGCCAAGTCCAATATATCCGAGTTTTGGTTCTTCAAATTGGTCTCCTTCTCTCACAGAACTGCGGCTATCCGACAGCAGTAGTGATAGTGGTTCATCGACATACGAACACAAAGAAGATAGAAGTCCGCGAAAAGTATTGGTTGCCGAAGACAATACGATGAACCAGCGTCTCATTCAAAAGCTGCTATCGAAGCGTGGCTTCAAGGTCTCGATTGCCAACGATGGAAAGGAAGCACTCGATCTCTATGAAAGTGAAATCGAGAAACAGAATCCATTCGATTGTATATTGATGGACATCCAGATGCCGGTACTCAATGGTTTGGAAACCACCTCTGCAATTAGAGAACGCGAGAAGCAAGAAGGTGGTCACACTCCAATAATAGCAGTAACAGCGCATGCAATGAAAGGAGATAAGGAAAAGTTTATAGAGGCCGGTGTTGATGACTATGTAACAAAGCCTATCAATCCAAATACCTTGTATCAAGTGATCAATTCACAATTAAAATAAAGACTTTAATGTTAATATTTATATATTAGATTAACATAGAGGTATAAAAAAAAACAATCAAATTAATATTAATTTTTAGACTTTCACTTATACACAAACACATCTATTATTTTTGTTTGACAGTAGTTGCAATTTTTCGATTTATTATTATTACTTTCTTTTCTTTTGTTTTTTTTTTTTTTAAATAATATTATTGTTTTATATCTCTATCCAAGATCATGTGATACCTTTTTCTTTTTTTTTTTATTCTGAAGTCATTTAGAACCAAACATCTTGTAAATATCTACCGGATTTCTGCATATCTTCAATGAGTTGTTGAGCTGCGTTGTCGTCTTTTGATCCGTATTCTTTGATGATTTGAATGAGTGTTTGATTTACGCTCTTTGCCATGCTTCGAGCGTCACCACATACATAGAAGTAACCACCATTGGAAATGAGTGACCAGATCTTTTCTTTGTCCGATGCCATCTTGTGTTGAACGTAGGTCTTCTCGGCGGTCTCTCTCGAGAATGCAACAGTGAGAGTCTTCAACGATGAAGATTGTTGATAGACTACCATTTCCTCCTTGTAGAGATAGTCAATGTTACTACCACGACAACCGAAATAGAGAATATTGTCGAATTGTTCGGAGATCTGTTTGGTTGAGAGACGGTGTTGAATCTCTTGGAGGAAACCACGGAATGGTGCAAAACCAGTACCTGGACCGACCATGATCATTGGTGGTGCTGGCTTGTCGCTGGCAACCGCCGAAGTGTAGTGTGATGGTAATCTAAAGTGAGACTCTCTTACAAACATTGGCACCTTATCACCGACCTTGAGGTTGGCAAGCCAAGTCGAGCAAACACCATTGTGGAAACGTCCAGTTGGTGTGTTAAAGTTGACGACCACCGATGTGATGGTGACACGACCTGGTGTGGCGTTCAAACTGGAGGAGATCGAGTAGTAACGAGCGGGAAGACGTGGCATGAACTCGAGGAAGTGTGAGATGGGTGGATTGATACCTGGGAAGTTCTGAAGCAACTCACCGATCGTACGGAAATCGTGCTTGATAAACTCATTGTATTCGTCGGCGGCTTCCTCCGATGCCAAACGAATCAAACGCTTCTTCTCTTCCTCGACTTGGGTGTACTCGGCGAGAGTACGAAGAATTGACTTACGTGGTGGATTGGTGATATCGAGTACCTCGGACAATGCCTTACGCACTGTCATTGGACCGACGGAAGCTTCAATCACTGAACCGGCCTTGTCGTGTGGAACCATGGCGAACTTGGTGTCTCCGTCAACGCCCAAACGTAGAAGCAACTGCTCGACCAAGGCGCTCTCATTAACTGGATAAATACCAAGATGATCACCAACCAAATAACTCAAATTCTCTCCAATATCAAACTCTATATGCTTGCAAGATCTATCTGATTCACTTGAATGTAATTCTTTATTCTCAACAACAGTAGCAAGATATGGATTTTTAATATCATAAATACTATGTATCGTAGAGTATCAACAACAACAAATGAAATGAGTCAATTATAAAACAATAATAATCGTAGTAATCTATCTAAAGATAATACATACACTGAGCCATTATTTGAAAGTTTAGGTTTAATCTTTGGTGGATTAACTCTAATGTAAGAATTGTTTACATCGTAATTCTCTTCTGTAAGTGTAATCATTCTGAATCTTGGTGTACTATATATTATATATTTGATTGATATAGGATGGTAAGCAATCGATCGATTGATTTTTGATTACTTAAGTAATATAGTAATACATACAATTTATCATCTTCAGATGACTTTAGTTCGTAACCGAGGTATTCGCAAACAGTTACCCACATGTTCTTCTTCCAGTGTAGGAAATCTTCTTCGAGGGTGGCATCATCATCACCTTCACCTCTTTCAAAGACTCGCTTACCACCGAGTTCCTCGAGACGTCTGTCGAATACACGTGCGACTGCATTGTAGTGTTCGTATGTTTTGTTTCCGAGACCAAAAACGGTGAATGGTACCGCTGGATTGGCGAGCAAAGTCGATGGACGATCCTCGCTCGTTAGCCACAAGTAGAACTCCTTGGCATTGTCAGTGGGGTCACCCTCACCGTGGGTCGCCACCAAAAACATTGCAAAGTACTCACTGGACAAATCATTTGGATCGTAAGTCTCCAGATCGACAACCTCACATGGAATTCCAATCTTTTTTGCCTCCTTCTCAATGACACGTGAGAAATCCTCTGCTGTTCTAGTTTGTGTTCCAAAGAATATCTTTAAAACTTTCTAAAAATAGGTAAAGATGTAACCGAGATATATATGTAAAAGTAAAGTAAGTACTTGATTGAATCGACCGATTTCAATATATAGTTATTATATACCTCTGAAGATGATTTTTGAACTTTTGGTGGCTTTGGGGCAGCTGGTGTCTTTATCTTTCTGTTGATAGGAGGAGGAGGTGGAGGTCTATTCATATATAAATAGGTTCCAACAATGAGAACTACAACTATAATTGTTGGTGCATATTCTATTAAAAGTGATTCAATTAGATCCAACATTGTTATTATCGTTGTTTTTTTTTTTTGATTAAACTCTTTTCAATCTTTCCAACTTGAATATTACTGTTACTAATGTTGTTGATACTACTTTAATTTCTAACTACTAAAATATTATATCTCTCTATCTATCTATCTATCTATCAATCTAAACAAAAATATGTTATTATAAATTCGATTAATTTGAAGAAAGTTATTTAACAAACAAACAAAACAGAAAAAAATATAAAAAAAAAAATAGTCGATTTATAAGTTGATTTTTTTGTTTTTATCAATCAAACAAACACCTGCTATTTTAATTGTTTTTTATTTTTGGTTTTTTTTTATTTTTATTTGTTAGTTGGATTTTTGTGTTTGAAAGTTAGAATAAAAGAAAG